TTTTTTTTTTTTTAACAGACATAGTTTATCCCTACATGCACATGAACATAATCAGTGCCCAGACCGTCAAGAGAGAGAAATTTTAATTAAAACAACAACCAAGAAAAAAAAAAAACACGACAGTATTACACGGCCACGATACCGCATTGAGCGGAACAGCTCCGACCTGCTATTTCATTCCTGCGAAACCATACCTCGGCATTGAAAGCTCAAAACTCCGCTATTCAACGCTCTCCCAGAGAGTCCCAATTGGCATACCAGGGTGGCGCCGGTACTCGCACAACCTTGACTGCAGAGAGTGAGCCAGAGCACATTACCGCTCACGCATTCTGTGACAAGACGTCTAACGAGAGTGGGGGGCTCTTTCTTTTTTCTCCAGAAAAAGTTTTTCGTGGACAGTTACATGATCGTACAAGGAGCCAGCTGTTGTGGGGAAGAGGGGTACCCCGTAGAGACCAAGCGGGGCCTAAGGGATGAGCGAGACCGGTGGGACAGGATTACGACCCTAAAGCTATAAACCGTACAAGAGGGAGTAGTAGTGGGTTGACAAGTAACAGAAAGGGCAACGGATCATTCTGCTACGACTATCTTCCTCCTCAATCATCCTTTCTCTCGTTCTCCCCATCCTTCCTTCCCCCCCACTTTCATGTTCACAGCTTCTCATCTTCCTCCCCCTCTGTTCCATCCTCCCCTCCTGCCCGTCCGTTCCATAGTTCCCTTCTTTCAACCTCCTCTTCCACATTCCCCTTCTTTCAACCTCCTCTTCCACATTCGCCCTCTCTCTCTCTCTCCTGTCTCTTATACACATCTAGATGTGTATAAGAGACAGGTGCAGTATAGACTGTCATCATACGTATGAAGACAAAAGCTCGCCTGGGCTATCCCTTCATAATCCTCACGGCATAAGGCATGTGAACCACATGCCAGCTGAATCTCCGGTGGGTCATCACAAAGCGGCATGGAGCAAGTTTCTTGGGTTTCCTCAGTATTTATTCCTTCTCTATGGGTAGACGACGACGGNCACACACACACACACACACACACACACACACACACACACACACACACACACACACACGCTGTTACAACTTTCTATTTGCGTGTCAAATATACCCAGCCCATGGCAAAGGAGAAGAAAGAGAGGAACAGGTAGTTGAGCAGGTGAATGGATGAGCTGATGAGAGTGGAGGAGGTGATGGAGAAGCACGGGGTTGTACGAATGGCAAAGCCGGTTGTGTGATTGGAAGTGGATGGAGCAGGGATCGAGGATGGATGGAGGATGTGAAAAGGCGAAAATCAAGATGACGAAATTGAAGTGGAAATGAACGGCCGTACGATGGATGAACCAGTGAGGTGGGTAGATGGCAAGTTGAATATGCGTAGATAGAGGGCCGATCGAGGGTGAGTGGAGTGTGAGAGGGAAGTAGCTGGTCGAGTGAGTTGCTAACAGGTTGATGAAAGATGAAACGGTTGGGAAGCCGTGCTGAAGGCCGGCCACGTGGATCCACACAGACGTGGGAGAAAGGCGGTAGGACGAATCGGGCGGACCTGAACTTCGCAGTAGCCGCCTCCGGGTGTCAGGTTGCATATTCAAATGCGGACAAGGATCAAGAGCCGAGAAGTAGAAGAGGAGGGGTTGAAGTCTTTGGAGGCTTGCCACTCACTCTCACTGCACCATTCCCAATGATGGAGATGAGGACGAACCTCCTTGTCGCTGTCGCCCCCCGAAGACGCCGAAGAGCAACCAACTCCAGGGATTTGCGGCGGTGCTTGAAACTTGACACCGGCAGGGTGTGGGCATCGCAGGCCCAAGGAGGAGCCTGTGGCCCGCTGTTCTGCTTTCCAATTCAGTGCAGGGGCCGGTAAATGGCGCGAACAAAAGTTTATCCCGATGGTACCCCGCCTCTCCGTACAATTACCACGGCCTCTATCGCTTGTCCAATTTTGAACAACAAGAAAGATATGCCCAGACGGTAACCCGTTTTGCATAACCATTTGCCGGCGGGAAAATCCGAACATTCTGTTGGACCAGAAAAAGGAACAAGCCACAGAAGTTGCACTTAGAATTGTAGCAGTAGTTCACGATTTGCATCGAGCGCAGTTCGAGCTCAGGACTGTCTTTCAACAGTTCAGGGATGTGAGCTGGGCCAGATGGTGCAGACTCCAGAGCTCAGTTGGTGCGGAAATTGCATCCGGATCCTGGGTTCAGGTCTTTTTGGTGTCCCTTGTTCGCAACCCGTAATGGTTGCGTTTTATGCCCTCTAAACCTTCAACATCAATTCAACTTTAGGGTGGGCAATTTTGAGGTGAGGGCTTAGCAAGGGGAAGGGCATGGGGAGGACCGGTAGCTGCCCGTGGGCCGATGAGGCCGCGGTCCTTGAGTTGGACATTTGAAAATCAAAACAGCGTGCGAGGCCAAGAAGGCCGTGGTCCCACCACTCCCCCCACCAGCCTAAAGCGATTTTCCGGGGAGTTAGGGTCGTGAACGGCGTGGGGTCCGCGACCCAAAAAAAAAAAAAAAAAAACATCGAAGTTGTGAAAAAGTCGGCGCGCGGTTTTCAATTCAGGCGCTGCACTTTTGATCTTCTTTTGTTCTTTTTTGTGGGGAAAAAAAAAACAAAAAAAGCCACGCGGTGAACCTTGCAGCACAACACGAAAATATACACCGCAATCATCCATGCGTGTTAGGGTAGTCTAGTACACTTTACTCTAAGACACTCTATAACACTCTACTAAAATCTACTCGATGACACTCTAGTCTACTCTATTGTACGACACTCTACTCTACTCTACGACATTCTACTTTCCTTTAGTCTACGACACTCTCCGACACTCTTCTCTACTCTACGACACTTTCCGACACTCTTCTCTTCTCTACGACACTCTACTGTACTGTACTCTACAACACTCTATTATACTCTACAACACTCTATGACACTCTACTCTAATTTACGATACTGTACTCTACTCTACTCTACTCTACTCTACTCTACGATATTATATTATACTCTCCTACACTCCATGACACTTTACTCTACTTTACTCTACTGTAATCTACTTTATTCTACGACACTTTGCTTTACTCTACAACACTCTACTCTACTATACTCTACATTACTTTACGACACTCTACTACTCTCCTCTACGACACTCTACTGTCATATACTCGACAACACTTTACTTTACTCTATGACACTCTACGACACTCTACTGTACTCTACGACACTCTACGATGTCGAGCGCATCGGCTCCCGTCTTTTAACAAGCGCGGGAACCCTCCCGGCCATGTCGCGCATGAGTAAAACATAAACAAACATGAGGCAACTTGGGACAATGCATAGGTAATCCCGTGACCCGCGGAGACGGACGTGGTTGCATCGCTTTTTTCACCGCTCTAACCGGGTGCGTCAGCTGTACTTCCCACTGTCCCCTACGACATGATAGGTTCTCACGAAGCACATCTTGCCTTCCCTAAGGGGCTATGACCATCCTCACGGGGTATCCCTACCGAGCTACTAACCCACGTATGCAAGTTTTTACATGCAATTGCAGAGGTATGTCAGTCGATTGCGTTTGCTCGTTCGCTGGATTATAGGAACGTTGTCCGTTCCCTATGGCGCTGATCTCCTAGGTACGAAACAAACGTCGGTTTACTAGGATGGTCTCAACCAAACTTGAAACCCATAAAATAATCATAGTCTTTTTATAATTCTCTGATCACAAAATAAATAAAATCAATACACTTTTATAAAATTGCACAGGATTGGATTTTGACTTGATGAGATGATCTGCCAAAGTTATTTTTCCCAGCCTATATAACTGAAGAGACTATTATACCGCTGTTTCTGAGACTAAGGCTCGATATTGACGAAAACTTAGGACGGACAACCTAACCTTTGACTTATGGTTGAGTCTGTCGATACCTACTAAACCCTACCAGGAATGACTTTTACAAGTAAATTTCACTGCTACCATGCAGATCAATAAGTGATTTGGCTCATGGCCAAAGTTTGAACTTTCGGTTCGACCACACCTCCGTAACTTTTGTTGGTCGCTTTGTCCTCCTGGACAATAATTACTTGCGCAGTAATTGATTTTGACTCATGCAGTTTGTTTGGAGAAAAGTATTATCTAGCAAATAAAAATTTTGTTGGTCGCTTTGTCCTCTTGGACAATAATTACTATTTTCGTTCCTCAAATGATGAAGTATCCATCTTCATCATAGGGATACCCAAAACAAAGCCGCAATCATTATTACAACGCAAAGAAAACAATCTCCTTCATTACTTATTTTTTCTTACTAGATGGAGCTTCTTCTATCTCCAACTTTTAATTATAACGGTGGTACCTAAGGTGAACACCTGCAGGGACAAAAATAACCCCCATGTCGCCCTAGATTCAACGAGGGTCGCCCCACATTGCGTCGTCACACACCCATCTCTCTAGGAAGTGGTCTGCAAACACTCCTTCACCTCGCCCGAGTCCGAAGACTTGGATCTCAGAGGTTGGGCCGTCACCACTGAGTCGGCAAAGTACCACCCTCGACGAGTCCGGTCCACTCCAAGTCGATAACAGGACCGGCTCTAAAAGCATACGAATCCTTGGATGCTTTATAGAGAGAAAAGGCGATAAAACCCAACACGGATTGTCCATCTCGTTCTCCCTCACAACTTGGGAATTTAAACAAAAGATAACGAAAAATGATAAAGGCTTAGAAAAATAAGTGGGCAGTCGAGATAGAAAGGGTCAACCCTCAAAGAAAATTCAAATTTGTTTATCTTCATTTATAAATTTTATTTCATGGCACATGTTGACATTATTCATTTCAAAATGCAAGTACATTTAACATGCAAGCAAGCAACAAATAGAAATAAGATAACCGTTTTCTCTTTTCTTCAAGAAGCAATATCAATCTCCTTTTCAAAAATTTATTTTTACCTACTTGCACAGACCGCAAAACAAAACAAACAAGTCAAACGGAAACCAATACAATCCCATACTCAAGTCAGACTTTTTCGTTCACAGGCATGACTTGCACAACTTTCCTCTACCTTTCCTTTTGAACATTAAAAACGACAGGGTCAAGCAAAGTGTGGGTTCACACAGATGTGAGGGAAAATCTGAGTCAATCAACTGACCTTGAGTGAAGTTTGAATCGGTTCGCTCAAGAAAGCCGAGTAATATGGAAAAAAAAAACGATTACCTTCGAAGTCCGAAATATGCGGCTCACAACTCCCTCAGTTATGGTCGTTCTACTGAGAGACGGTCCACATCTAAAAGTTGGGCCCACTAAAGAGACCTAAGTGAGGTAACCTCAAAAGAGGATGTCCTCAGAATTAAGTCTCAAGCAATCCCGCCGTCCCAATGACACCACGTCCCCCAAAGGATGGTCCAAAAACAAACCGCAGGCCCAATCCTCTTCCGATCACTGCATCCGACCCCAGTTGGTCCCACTCGGTTCCAAAATGGTCAATGGTAGCCCCACACTCTCGCCTGCCACACCGGATGGTCCCAAACACCAGCAACTCGCACCGTGGATCCTCCCAAAAAAGTACCGAATGCTGCAAGTATCAACATCTCAATGCCCACACCACCAATACCACGTCACCAAAACACTACCATCATCGTGCCGTAAAATAGGCACCATGACCCCACTGAAAATATTGTTGCCGCCGTGCAAAAAAAATGGCAGCATTTCCTCTTCAAAGAAAGTTACCGTCGAACCAAGATTCCGGCAGCATAACCCCTTACAAACATTTGTCATTCACCATAGACTTGGACAACACCTCCCCCGTTGCGTCATAAAATCCTTCATCGTCGTGTCGCAATTTCGGCAGCACTTTCCCTTAGGAAGGCTTTTACGACAACACGACAGTTCAGCAGCACCTTCCCTTAGGAAGGTCTTGCCACCGACACGGCCGCACACCCGTCGTGGCTTATTGTCGCACGATCCGAGCCTATTGCAGCCCCGTAGCCGCGGCACAAGCACAAGGAGGAGGCAATAAACTCTCAATCTTTGGCTATGGTTGCGTCTCCTCCATCCTCAACTTCCTGCAGATCTTCACTACTTCCCCAACAGCATCTCCCCCTTACTTGCAGACCACCAATCTCTTCTCCTCAAACTCCAACAGCCTCTTCCTCAACACTTGCAACATTTGCCCTCCAACAAATGAGTAGTATCACTGCCTCACAAGTTTGAGGCAGTTGGGGCAGTGGCTGCTTATATAGTTGAGGGAGGTGGTGATAGCAGCCTGAGCCCTCAACCAAAAATTTAAGCTCACGCTGGACCCTTAATTTCCAAGTGAGATCAAGGGCCTCTTTCTACCCCACATAGCCTAAAAGACAAGGTCCATCCAATAGGAAATGGATCTGGCTTCCTTTTGGCATACACGCAGAAAGGGGTGGTTGTTCCCAACCTTCCCTTGTTGATCTGCTATTGTTGAGGCTAGGCCTCAACAATGCATCATTCCCCTAAGTCTGGTCAGACTTAAGGTCGGCTCCCTAGTTGGTTTGTTGCACAAGGTGCAGAAAACCACTTGAGAACCTGACCCCGACAGGGGGTACCCACACACATAAGGGCAAAAAAAAAAAAAAAATAGAAATATAATTTTACCTTTTTTTTTTCCTTTTTTTTTTTTTACTAAGTGTGGAAGCTCGTTGAAACGAGCAACCACCCCTACGCCCCGTTATTTCACAGAGTCGAACTAGATTCAAGCTCAATAGGTTC